AACAGAGAATATGTAATTTCCTTTTATTAGACTTAGTTTTAATTAATTTCGATTCCCCTGTACTTGTGTGCTTGCGCCCCTTGGAGGCATCTTGCCTACGTCCAATCTTGTAATTTTCATATTCAATAAACACTCCTTTTTGGGACTTTATTTCAAGATGTTTGTCCCTTACACAATCGTCTGATCCCCTTTTAATTGTTAGCGAGCGAACCTGTGCGAAACAATATATATTTTGAACGAATACTTTACACTTGATATTTTTTGAAATAGATATTCCCCACACACACAAGGATATAATATTAGTCATCCTCAATACACTTGCATGTAGAGATCGAATAGTAATCAAACTCAAAATGGGATTGTGCTTGTCACGCGATAATAAATCAACTGTGAAGAAGAGCCCTCCGTCAAAACGGATCACTAACCGCTCGGCGGCCGGTGGCGGTGGGAGCATGAGGATTCGATCTTTGAGGAAAGAGGACGACATAATTCACGAGCAGGCGTTGGCGGCGGCGTTACTTCTTCAGCAGCAGTTGAAGAACGGCAGCGCTGCTCCGTTTGATCGGTCGAGTTCCTTGAGGTATCCGAGTGGGAACTCTAAGAGGAATCAGGCGTTGAATCGGAGCTCGAGCTCCCGGACGCGATCCCTCACCGATCCTCTGCTTCAACCTCACCAACTTTTCAATCAGGTGAATCTAGATTGCATTTCCTTTTTCGTTTTGTGTTTACTTATTACTCTATTTTTCTCATTAATTTATAGCTTTGGAATGCTAGTTAACTTAATTAGTGCTTAATTTTGTTCGTTAAAGTAGATTGGTGATGGTTTTGTATGGTGAACTGATGATTTTTATGTGAATAATTGATACCCTGAGCTTGAGTTGTTAAAATTTCTAATTATGAAGACTAAACGAGTGGTCAAATTCGATATAATCATGTCAGCTGTAAAGTAGAAAGCTTTATTGGGGTTTGTGTTCAGAAATGTTGAATATTAGGCTGGTGTAGAAAGTGACGACCGAAGCCTGAATTTATGCCTTCTTTACCGTTTGTTTTTACCTATTGCTGTAAATTTTTTGTATACTAATTCCACAATTTGAATAATTACCATCTTGCTCTGCAATTTTATACGATTCTGACTCTAAAGTTTGTAAAGAATGTAGGAAATATGATGTTTACTTTTGAGTTTTTTCTTGTTCGCCTACCAAAGCATCCAAAGTTATACTCTCTATGTTCAAATTGCTTATTACCCTTATTTATGAAAGCAAACAACATCCATTATTTAGAGATAACTCACATTATTCAGTAATTCACAAATCTTTGTTGCAACCAACAAATAATCCAGAAAATGTAGAATGTTTGTATCATTAAGGTGTCATACAAAATAGGATTCCACTCCTTCTTTTTAGTCCGAACTGTTAAATGGCTAATGTTGTACTCCAGTTCACCACTTGGTTGCTATGGGTGGTGTTGTCCCTTTTTTTACTGTATCAAAATCAGGGTGGTGACGAAAACCGTTATTCATTTGGTAATTAAGATGATTTCAACTGTTACCCGATACTTTGATGTTCAAAGGGTTTATGACTTCCGTTGATTTCTGGTCTTTCTTAGATGGGATTCCAAATCTTTCTAATCTTCCATTACTATTATTATCTCAAGTATGATGTCGTGCAAGCTAAATATGATTGTCTTGCTGAATTTTGGGAATTTGATTCGAGAAATGTTTTTACTTGTGTTACCTTCTGCTTCAGCATTTTAACAATTTTTCTATTGGACAGGATATCAAACTTGACAATATAGACACCAACCATTTTGTCCTTGTCCATGGTGGTGGTTTTGGTGCCTGGTGCTGGTATAAAACTATTGCTCTGTTAGAAGAAGGTGGATATAAAGTTACTGCAATAGATTTGACTGGTTCCAGGATTCATTCATTTGACATAGATAGCTTTACAAGTCTTCCTCAATATGTGAAGCCACTTACTGATTTTTTCGAAAAGTTTGCTGATGGGGAGAATTTGTTTCCATCTATGGCTGGGGGGAGGGGGACAGAATTAGAATAGTAGGAGTAGAATGACTAATATTGCACACGAAGGAGTTGGTTTCCCCTATGTTCCATAAGGCACTTCATAAAGATGCTCTTTCAATCATTTATATAGTAAACCGACAAATCTGATATTGTTCAACAAATTGCCTTTGTTTTATAAACTTCTGCTGCTAAACCATATTAAAGAGACTGAACACTTCTATGAATAATATTTATCAACCTTTTTTCCACTTTGCCGTACTGAAGGTTGGTAAAGCTCCACATATTTTCTCACAATCAGTTATTTATCTCTAAGGGCATTGTTCTTGCTATTGATTAACTGGGTATATGCTATTTGAGACTTCCTTTCTGTAGCTGCAAACCTTAGTTTTAGACTTTAGATAACTAGCGAAATCTTGCATTATCATCAAGGCTCCAAAAATTATGTTAGAAGCTTGAATTTTACACCACAAAAATTGGCTTGAAAGTCTTTCTTGGTGCTCAAAACTGCCTTGCCACTGATCTTGAACGGACTCCATTAACATAACCATGTATTTTGTGTATCTAGATTGTGTATTGACTTTCTCTATGAAGCTGCATAATAAATTTCACAGGAAGAAGTATGATTTGTTCTCAATTGTCCTCTGTTTCGTGCAGGTTATTTTAGTAGGACATGATTTTGGTGGGGCATGTATATCGTATGCTATGGAGTTGTTCTCTTCTAAAGTTTCCAAAGCTATTTTTATTGCTGCGGCTATGTTGACTAGTGGACAAAGCACCCTTGAGTTGTTCTCTGAAAAGGTTCGTTTCTATCCTTGTGATTTCTGCTTGCAATGGATTACGAGCAAAGCAAAGGAAAAGCTTTTTTCAAATCTGGTCCTGCTTTAACCAAATATTTTGGTCTTCGTCTTATTTGAGCTGGTCGGGAGGGATCAATAAATGAAAAAATCACTGTGTTAAGAAATGAGCCCACCTATTAACTTGAGCATAACTTTTAGTTGTGGCGTAGTGTGTGTTCTTTGCTGAAGCACCTGTACATCTTTCGGCTGTTTTACTGCATTGAACATTGACTTTCTATTATTAATTTAGTTTAAGTGAAATATGATGAATTTGCAGGTGGATTCAAATTACTTGATGCAACAGGCTCAGATATTTCATTATGCTAATGGGAACAATCAGCCTCCAACTGCTATTGATTTCGACAAATCTCTCTTAAAGGACTTATTATTCAATCAGAGTTCTGCCAAGGTATGATGTTTTCACATTAACTGCTGAAAATAAATTGTTTTCACTATGATATATAAGCACCCATATTGCAGTACTGTATTAATTCGCTGAATAATTACAATATGGAAGGCTGAAAACATGAATGAAATTGTTGATCTTGGAAAAGTTTGTGATTATGATAATGATGTACCTCCGTTGGGGTTGACCATGATTGTAGAAGTTATATAGTACATCACCTATGATCACATCTCACGCCTTATATGCTTTTGGTGCCATAATAAAGGGTACAAAATCACTTACCATGAAATGCTTCTCAAGTTAGAAGTCATTCTGTGACTGCTTTTGAGTTCATTTTAAGCTTAATTAAAGATACCGTGAAACTGTCCTGTTTAGAGGACCTAAATTTCACCAAAATGTGTCGTAAATTTGCAAATTCTGATGCATTGGACTATTTGCTCCTTGCTAATTCCTTACTCTTTTCATTTCCCAGGATGTTGCATTAGCTTCAGTGTCAATGAGGCCAATCCCGTTTTCACCAGTTTTGGAGAAGCTCTCTCTTTCTGAGACAAACTATGGCTCCGTGAGGCGTTTTTATATTGAAACTCCAGAAGACAATGCTATACCTATTGCTGTACAGGAAAGCATGATAAATAAAAGTCCCCCAGAGAGAGTATTCCATCTTAAAGGTGCTGATCACTCCCCTTTTTTCTCAAAACCTCAAACTTTAAATAAACATCTGGTGGAAATATCAAAGATCCCATGAATTTAGTTTCCTAGGAATCATTTTCGTAGAATCGTCGTCCCCTAGAGTTTTACTGACAATTCAACCATCATTATCCCCTTCCACTCAGCATCCCAATATTAATTCAGAAATGCTATCGCATAGTTAGCAAGCATTTGAGCTTAGATATAGAGTTTTAAAGTTTCTTGTCGTGGGACGAGCAATGTTCATAAAATTTTTATAGAAGCTTCCAAAATAAGGAGGAAACTTCTTCTGTTTATTAAATAAAGATTTTTAGAAAAGTACGTTTCTGAGTTAAAAGTTATACTTCTACTTTGGAAACCATAGTTTGCCAATAAAATAAAATAAAATAAAATAAGGGTTAAAGGGCTAAATTTGCTTCTCATTGCCACCTAGCTTGAAATATTTAAAGACTGAAGAGAAGGAAGTATTCTACCTAGCTATACAATTGCTGTTATTTGCTTGTTAGGTTCGAAATTTAATGTTACCTATGTTGCTCCATGCTTGAGATTAATACCACATGAAGTTAAACGATATTTTTATATGTATAATTCCATGATTGATTTCCAAATATCGGCTAAATTCATATTTTTAGCTGCCTAATGTAAGATTTATTTATTTATTTATTTTTTGGTGTGTGCGCATGTGCGATGAGGGACGGATTCAATTGTATATTTGCTACCTCAACTTTAGGTCACTTGATGACTTGACCACACGTTATGGGAGTTTTGAAATAAAAGATGAATCATGCTACAATGTCAGAGAGATTGACTTATGTCATATGACATTTTATTATTGGATGGATTACAGTTAATTTTTCCATTCAATCATATCTTTTCAACACCCATGTGGCATTATGTAAAAAATTATGTAAATCTTTGTAACACTGTAACATGTTTCTAAAGGATTTATTTTGACAGTTAGTTTCGAAATATTCAAAATAAGTAATCTTTAAAACTAAAAAGTCAAAATAAGTTTTGATTTTTTAACTTTCGAAATGTATATATATTGTTATTATTTTTTATAGTTGAGTAATAGTTTTATGTTCCACTAAAATGATATGTGGCTATTATACAGAAATAAAAATAGAAATGGTAATGAGATGAAAACTTATTGACAGAATGATTTTTTTTTTTTTGATCAACAATAACACTCTACGCGTTATATATTCAGTCACATTTTATTTTCTTTTATCTATTTTATTTTTACTCGTATTTTCCTTCAACACAACCCTACCATTAGGGCTGTCCTTAGGTCGGGTCGGTTCGGTTCGATTCTGAAGAGAATCGAACCGACCCAAAACTTTCGGGTATTTAATAAATGGAACCGTCAAATTCAAATATAATTATGGAATCATTCGGGTTGGGTTCCGTTCGGTTTTGTTCCGTTTCGTGCCATAACTAATGACATTTCATTCGTAACTTTTACAAATTAACGTAATCCAATTCAAAAACGTATAAATAACTAGCCATCCAATAAGATT